GGCTGACTTGTTTCTTTCCAAATACTCATTAATGATGGAGGGTGAAAACTTCACACACTTCCATCTAACATAAAGCTTCTTATACTCCATATTTCCTTCAACATTGCAATCACTTGATAAGTTAACAATGAACTCCTTAACTAGTTACTCATAACAAGGACTAAGATCAGTTACAGTCTTCATCAACTCATTATCTTTAATCAAGTCCAAAATCTTCTGAAATTCAAGAGCTTTTATGCCTAGCTCTCTTTACCAAGCAATCCTTATTAGATAAATATATTTTCACTTATGAACACTTGTTTTAGAATAGAATAACACATTAAAACATTCACTAGAATATTTTTTCCACCAACCTTTTCTTGATGGTGGAAACAATGTCCTAGACGTCTATTTCACCATCTATCTCATATTCACTTGATTGAATAAGTTTTATTTTGAGAGACTTTTTCTCCGTGGTTTTCTCTTCTACTTTTCTTTTCTAATTCACAAGAGTCCTTTGAGGAGTTTTCTTCATAATTTCAGTATTTTTCATGGAGGTTTTGGGAGGAACCTCTTTCTTTTTTTCTCTTTCTCCTCATCATCCATAGACTTAGCTATCATCTTCATTACTTTAATAGCAGGTGTTTCATCAGACTCGGTTTTTCATCTACATTCACCACATCTTTGGCTACATCTTTCTCATGAGGCTTGGATACACTTACAATAATCCTACATGATGTTGGTAATGAGAACATCATCATCTTCAATAACTTGATCATTTTCCACACTCCTTTTAGTTTGAACCTCAGCCTCTACACTTTAATGGTTCTTATTGAACATATCATTAGAAGAATCTTCAGAGGAGACATAGTTATCATTAAAAATACATCAAGAAGCTTATCAATGACGGGTGTATCAACAGAATAATCATCAACTATGACAGATTTCTCATTAGGGTTTACTTTAGCATGTGGTTCATTAGTGGATTCAGGTAGTTCACTAACTGGAACAGATGTGGGTTCAGCATGTGTTTCACCAGATGTTGGGATAAATGCTTCAACGTTTGGTTCAACATGTGAATCGGCATGTGATTCAACATGTGGTTCCACATGTGGTTTTTCAACATTAGTTTCAGCATGATCAATATTTTTCCTAATGATATTTGACACGGCTTCCTCATTAATAGACATAGAGTCAATAATATTATAAACATGCAATGGTGATTCCTTTTTAGAGGTACTAAACTTTTTAAATGTTTTCTTTTTCTTGATTGCACTACTCTTTTATTTATATGTTGAAATGTCAACTGGAACAATCATTGTTAGAGAGAGAGATATATTTAGGTTGTTCTTACATGTGAGGAAGGTGTGACTATTTTGAAGAGATTTCTCTTATTTTACGCGCTGCAGTGATCACATGAGAGAAAAAAATTCATTTTAGACTTGCATGCCTCCCTTGAGTTAATTTTCATAAGATTCCGCACATGCAAATACGAATTACACCTCTAAGTCATCCAAACTAAACATTATCTAAGGCCTTGGTACGAATTTCTCATAGTAGCTTAACTTGTAGGTCAAGAAAGTATATAAAACTTCCTATAAGACTCATCTCAATTTTATACTATAATTATTGAACATAATGTTTCAATATCTTGTCTGACATACCAAACCCAAAGTCATAAAGGATTTTTCCTTTATTATTCGTCACACATACGGTGTCATGTCTTTCACCCAGGCCTTTCAATTATGTGTATTCCATGAGAATCATAAGAAGTAAATTTAGAGATTTATAGGGTAGGATGTTGAAGCATCTTGTGGGACATCTTATCTATTTACTACACTCCATAAATTTTGCCTTCTTAAGTTATCAAACATGATGAAGGATAAGAGATCCACATATAATAGTTATCTTTAGATCTTGAACCCTTCATTAACACTTCTTGATTTTTGTTGAAGAGAATACATCCAAACATGTTGAAGTTTACATTCAGATCTTGATCATTCAGTTGATTGATGTTGATCAAGTTAGTAGTTAGACCTTCTACCAGCAGCACATCATCTAGGCAAGGGTAACCTGGACAAATTAGTTTTCCAAATGCCCTTGATTCTTTCTCTAGCTCCATCACAAAAGGTTATGTTACTATTAAAGTAGAGATTTAACTCTTCAAGATAGCTCTTTTCTCCAGTCATGTGTCTTGCTACCAAAATATCAATCTTATCTTAAGAGAACTCTAAGATTTGAATGAGATATGAGACAAATGACAAATTCTTTGCGTTTCCACACTTTCTTTCCTTGAGTTTTCTTCCCTTTCTTTTTGCTCAGCCTTGGTTTACTATAGAATTGAGGATATTCATATAGTCTGTAACAAAAGGGTCTTATATGACCATATCTACAACAGTGGTGACACCTCAAAAATGAGTTATAGTTGCCTCTATTATAAGGGCACACATATTGAGCAAGGTGTTGGAATATGTGGTATTTCATCAAGAACTCAGTTTTCTTCTCAGGAGAAACAAACAGTGAAAGTTTTGACCTTTTTGTTCATGAAATTGTAGTCAAATCATATAGTATTCACATTCCTAGACTTTTACCCAACTTCCAAAATCTCATCTTACATATCAAAATCATTGTTCAACATGCAAACTAATAAGGCTAAGTTTACTTCGACACATAACCTGGCATACTTTCCTCTTTCATGCGATAAGGTGTTCTTATCCACCTTGATTGTCTTACCAATTCTATTCCCAATGAAGGATTCTTCGTGTTAAAATATTCAATCGGCAGTCCATAAATTCTTACCGAAAGCGCCACACTATCGATTGTATCACTTGTCGGGTGAAAGTCAGGACTTCGTTCTTTCACTGTAAGGTAATGGTCATAAATGAACCATGGGGCATTAGCAAGAGTTGTGATATGATCAACATCATGCGAGAAGATGCCGAAGTAATAGTCATTACTTAGATCAATTATATTAATCACCCTTTTTTTAACCCATATATGCTTCAGTCTCGTCTCCATTGGCTTTTACCCGATTCTTCTTCCTAACGGCTTAACAATTACCCCTCTATGCCAAGGTCTATGGATTCTCCACTCTTCATGCTTGAAAAAGATGATTTGGAACAAACGTACTGACCCTCGACGTGCTCCTCAACCTTCATGTTCTCTAAATCAAGAATGTTCATCTCCATGTCTTCATCTTTCTTTTACCATCACCTCTTCATCAACGTTTTCACTTGTGGTACCCATTACCATCTCCTTGTACAATCTTCCTTCCCCATGCATGCATTGTTGCTTTTCTCTCTCAACTCCCACAATCTGTTTTCCATTATTTTTAACCTTTTTCGTATTCCTCTCTTTGAGATCTATCTCCTTGTACAATCTTCCTTCCCCATGCAGGCATTGTTGCTTTTCTCTCTCAACTCCCACAATCTGTTTTCCATTATTTTTAACTTTTTCGTATTCCTCTCTTTGAGATCTTTTCTCATCCTTATAACTTTCATTTGACTCAGATGTTTACCCTAACCGAGAACTCACCATAAATTAAAGACATATGAAACAACCATTTTGGTTATCACTAGTATGAAAATTTTGAAGTTCTTATTAAAATAATAAGAAGGACGTGGATCTATATGACATTTTGGTCCATTTTTAATTAATCAAACTTCCTCTATTTTTTTTATTTTCTTTCACATTATTACTAACATATAGTAACTTTTAACAATATCAAAAAGTATGAAGCAATACCAAAATAAATTAAAAACCTTGAACAAATTACTAAAGCTATAAAAAATACTATTTAAAATTAAATCTTATCTTATCACCATAAAAATAAAATAATATTCAAATTCAATTTATCAACATTAGTTATATTATTTTATTACAATCTCAATCTTGAGAAATTTCATGAGTTATACAATTATTATAATACAAATTTTAATTATACTACGTTTCTATTATTTAAATATTTTTTGTTTTTGTAATTGAGTTTTTAATCCCCAAAAAAATAATATAAATTTGGATAATCAAAAATAAAATATTATAAGAAAAAAACTACTGTGCTAGTGGTTATATCAAAATAAAATAAAATTATAGAAGTAAAAATTTAATAAATTATATAAACTTCATTATCTAGTCCCAATAATGAATTTTTAAAAATAATTCAAATAAACTTTAAAAGAAAAATAATTATTTATCGAAACTAAATTTCAAAAGCAAACAAAAATTTCAATTGCTCTTGACTTTTAAACCAAATACAAACTAAAAGCATGCCATAAACCCACACAACAGCACTACACGATATATAATCTAAAATACATTGACTTATCATGGCCACACAAGCAAATTTACAGAAGTGACATAAACTAAACAGCGTTACACAAGATACCCAGTAATAATGAACAATGCAAATTTTGACATATTCCATGTCATGTATTACATTATTTAAGGGAAATATGTACAAACCGCAGCGTCCTCTACCTTGTACACCTGTTTGTAATGGGGCAAAACAGTACACCCAATTTATGACCATGTCAGCTGACTCGTGTTCAAAAGCACAGAAGTAGAGACTTCCATACATACAAATACAACAGAAGAGACCTAATACATTACTATGTATGAACATGCATTTTTTTCTGTCCTCTGTGATGGTTCAAATTACACAATTAAAAAAAAGACACACGTGAGGAAAACTATCCTCCTAATGTATTCCCTACTTGTTATCAGACACTATTAATCTATTCAGGAAGAACAATTCATTGTGCATACAGAAGGGCAAAGTTTCACACAACCTCAAAAAACACCAAACATGGTAGTGCGTCAGTCATTAAAAAGTTCTTCTCGAGCCAGAACCAATAATACCATAAAAGCCACTGTCAAAACAACTTAATACACAAATGTTCTGACCAGAGCAATTTTGTCAAGATAGTCGGTGACCAACACATACCTTTGCCGCCAATTCTGCTCAAAATGATTTTAAAACATGAGTGTTCCCGTCATTACAGCACGTAATTTATCCACTGGATCTAGATGACAGAATTTGCTAGGGAAAGTTCATGCAGTTCACTTAGCATCCATTCATCCCCGGTTTGACCACCCAGAACAATAGCTCTTGTCCCCCCAACAACACATGTACTATGTCCCCAAGCAAATCTTGGAGGGCGCCCAGGTACATTTAATATTCTCCATGTAGGCTTCTCATCGGTTGGATCAAGTATGTAAAGCTGGGAGGCAGAATGAAGGCCTGCAACAGAACCCCCAAATATCAAAATTCTACCACCTGGAAGGCTAACAGCCACGTGATCAAGTCTAGGAGGAGGAGCTATGCCTCCAGGATTGCCAGCACCAGGCATTCCACTCCCTGTGACACATCTCCAGCATGGCTCCTCCTCACTTAAATCCATAGTGAACACATCACTTGACCGGAAACGCAGGGGACCACTCTTGGCCAGACCCCCAAACATCAGAATTTTCCTACCACCATAAACAGATAATGTGTGGCCCAGACGGGAAGGTGGTGTCCATGTCACTGGTATCTCCCTCCAGATAGGGTTTTCCATTGACATATCAAGAAGAAAAGTATCGCTCAAAAGTACTCCAGAATCAGCACAGCCACCAGAAACTATCAACTTAGTACCATCAAGAGTACAAGAGCTGTGCCATGATCTTGGAAGTGGAGGTGCCAATCCCGAAATTTCACGCCAAGTTGGAGGGGTTGCATCCAAGTCCAGAACAAAGACATCATTGAGCAAACCCTGTGTTCCACAACCTCCAAATACAACTAAACGAGAACCATTAACACAAGAAAGTGTATGGCCCCACCGACCAGGGGGAGGAGAGCTAACCTGGACATGTTGCCATTCGGGATTATTAGAATTGAGATCCAATACAAAGGTGTCATTCATGGGTTGCATATTAACCCCTTCGCCGCCAAATAGGACAACTCTATTCCCAACTGCACAAGCACTAAAATTGCAGCGTGACGGTTCAACACCGCCTCCAACAGTTAGTTTCCTCCATGCTGCTGCTTCAAGAGTGGTCAGTTCCCTTGCTAGTCGACCCCATCCAAGCCTCCTAGCACCAGGAACAGTCTCCAAAACACGGGTAGTTTCACTACCCCATGCATTTTGGCATACCATCCTCCAAAGGTCTTCATTTCTTGTTACTTCATACAATCGCGTACAAACAGAACTAACTGATGCAATATCTCTTGGAGTTAAGCGAGCAAGTATCTTGAGAGACAATACCTCATCACTCAATTGAAATAACCCACAAATTCCACGGGTCACATTCCGGTCCCCCACTGGAAGAGGTTGCAGTGAGGAAAGCACAGAATGAAACCGAGCAGATGATTTAACAGATTCCTTAATTGTAGAACCGAGAACAGGACCAAGATCAATGTTTGCCTCTGTGAATAACTGAATTCCAATGACATGAGTTATTTCATCATCTTCTCCATATATAGGTGTCAGCCGCAGTCTGTTCATAAGTGGAGATCCATCTTTCCTGAAGTTCAGCAACTCACCTTGAAATTCAACCCCTTCGTCAATACATTTTCTAATTTCTGAAATTACTGATGAGTCCACCAATGGATGCCTTCTCTTAGCGAATGGACCTCGACACTGCAAGAAACGGCTGCAAAATGACGGTAAATGATTAGAGTAAACCCAAATAGGATGAACACCAAACAATACACTCAATCATGTGTGAAATGTTACAAAGGGACATGTAATTTTCATTTTTCCAAATAGAGTGCTCTTTTTCCTTCTTTTCTTTCCATTATTCCTTGATGCAGAACAAAGATTATTCATTCAACTGACCGAAAAACAATTACTTCAAAAATATAACATAAACTTTTGTCTGCACAAACTTCCAAATGCACCAGTCTCAATGGAGTAACTACAAGCCCTGAGTAAATAAAGTAAATTTGGTTTTAACACCACAACAACGGAAGCAGATAACTCTTTGCATCTTTATGAGCACACAAACAAAAAACAATTGTAGAAGAAAGATTAGGGAAAAAATGACTACAGATATACTACTGTCAAGAAACTATCTGCATTTCCAAGCTTCGAAATTCAATGTTTATTTTTCAATCTTAAGCAAAAGACGAGCTAATAGAATACATTATGAAAAATGAAAATTTTCATACAAATTACCACTAAATCTTCTCTTATCAATATTATTAGTATGATACAACCTAGACCCAAATTGCGTCATTATAAAAAATTCATCATTATAAAAAATTAAGAAATAAAAACTTGCACTCAATAATTATAACATTGTACAATAATGATACTGGTAGTAGGTCATTTTGCATAAGCACAAGTGAGCAAAACTGTTGTATCAATTGTGAGGTGTAGCAAAAATAGGAAAATTCTAACATCGAAGTAAAGAGGGATAGCTAAATAAATATCACATGAGTAATATTAATTTTGAAACTCGGATAGTAAACATTAGTTTTAGGTTGGTAAAATGACAAAATAAAGTTGTTCTTGCAACTTGCAATACATAATAGAAAAAGAAAGTTGTACTACTTAAAGACCTCTTAAGCTTTTTGTCAAACAAGAAACAAAGAAAGCATCAAATATTATTAGTGTGTATATGTCAGTAAGTAGGGCTGCAACAACAGAAGGCAATTATGGGAAGATTGGAAAGTTGAGTTCAAAAAATACTTTCACAGGAAGAACAAAAATAATTCCTACGAAGACATCCAAATGGGTGTCAGTAGGGCGTCTAGCGAGCAAGAGCGAGTATGGTCATGTCCGTGAGGCTCTAGAAAATCAAAGCAATCAAATACATCATTCACAAGGGGATCACAACTGCTGTGGAAATCAAAATGGTCTTCTTCTCATTCCTAAAGTTATAGTCAATGTTAACTGTCACCCTCCTAATTCTGCTTGTTGTTTGCTAAGGAACAAGATCGAAAAAATCACAAGTTATATAGCAAAAGTTATATCGAATTAACCGATTGAAGTACAAACACATTTGTTACCATCCTTCCGTCTTTGGGTGTTTGCAAGTGTTGATTACCAATAAAAATATTAGTTTTAGTAAAAACACTTTATGCTACAGGATTTCTGTTCCTTGAAAATTTTACATCCAATTGTTATCTTTCCATTTATCTTCCTATTCTTTGAAAATTGTCAACTTTTCCTTGTAGAAAAGAAGTACTCCCTCGGTTTCAAAATGTCTGTCGTTTTAGAAAATATAATTTGCTTCAAAACGACCGTCATTCTCACTTTTCAATGTAGAAATGATTGTTATTTTTCCAATTGTGTCCTATAATTATTACTACGTACACTACTTACAACACATTAATAAGATTAATTTAGTAAAAGTGTAATGTTTTATGACAATATTATTATATTTCTTAATCTGTGTGCAAAAACCTTGAACGCATTCATTTTGAAACGGGGGGAGTATAAAATAAGACTTGCTATGGTGTGGGGACCAGGTTAGAACAGAGGGTATACAAAGCAATCTTAATGAGCTTTGCTTTTGAATTTCAATTTTCTGCTAAAAAGATATACATTTTTTAGCTAAGCAGCTTAGACTCTCCAATTATTTTAAGCCACCGGTTTAGACGGAAACTGAGGTTCTGCCAGTAACAAGATTAGACTCTCTTACTAACTATTTTATGCCAATGGTTTAGACAGAAACTGAGGTTCTGCCAGTAAGTAAAAGAAAGTACATGGCACGTAAATTTAAGAAGACACAAAACCCTACCTTAGAGGAGAAAATATCATACAAGTCTCACATTTTAAAAAAGAAAATGCCACACCTAGTCCAAACAAAATGAATGAAATGGAGGAATGTTCTAGGTGCGGTCTATGATTGGATGTACCTCTCTAGCTTGAAGAACACTTTTACACAACTATAAGACCAAGATAGTTGAAATTGAGAAATGTTGAGTGTGATTTTTTATAGCAGTGTACTTCTCTAGCTCAGAGAATTTTTTCACTACACCTATAAGATCTGCAGTGCTATACAGAATCAAATATTGGGCAATAAAGAATAACAAGTAAGCAAAGTGTCTCCGGTGAAAATATATAATGGATGAATGATAAGACAACATATGATTAAGATGAATTGGGGTAAGATGCACTAGAAAAAAAAGTTATATTGCCCATATTAAGTGGGTTAGCAATGTTTAGAGAAAACCCTTAAACAGGAATGAGAATTGCTAGATAGAAAATAGTCCAATAGTTAGTTAAAGAGGTGGAGGAAGACCAACAAACACGATATATCAACAGGTTAAGATAAATTTGATAATAAACAAACAATAATAGAGAGACATTAATATCTGTGTTGCTAAACATGGTGGCCCGCCATTCTTCCGCACCATACTACCTTGATTTAAAAAACGTAGAGTAACTAAAGAAAACACAAAAAAGGCAAGAGATGAAGGACAGGATTTGAATGAAAACCTGCAAAATAATTCGGGAGAACAAAAAAGGTAACAGTGAATACAGATGATGGTCAGAGACCTGCACAGTAAGAACACAGGATGTGATTGAAAACTCGGAAAGTAGTGTGCAAAGCAGATCACATAGCCTAGCCCGAAATACAGGAATTGAACAAAAAACACCAGGCCTGGCCAGAATGATGAGAGCAAATCATGTGTTGGAAGTTAGCCATGGTTTTCATACAAACCACATGAGACAATTAACATTGGCAATTTGGCATCAGTTCTTTCAAACCCTTTTTTCTGAATAAAAGAGGAATTGAGTCCGAGTATTCTCCACAAAAATGTCTCACCATTTTGATTATGGGTGAAAAGGTTTTGGGTGCGCTAAAATGTCTTGTCTCAACTGGTGGGATTTATCCCAGTTTCCAGCACTACAGTGGACATGACAGAGGCGACTCCATGAGACAGCCTAAAAAATAGCATGCCATTGACAAGTATGACTAAATGACAAAGAAGCTCTTGAATAACACAACTCCAGCAGTTATCTGGTAGGTCGGACCAATGTAAGGAACCCAATATTCAAGAGAAAATAAATTATATTATTTATGGAAAAACAGTTACTATTACAGAAGATTAACCCCTGCAATCCTAGAGCAAAGCTCCTCATAGAAGAGACAAGTCTCACTGCGCCCAAACCAATATGGTTCCTAACTGAATAATTCTCAATGCCTTCTCCCTTGCTATCCTTATCCTTTATATAACTATCCTTATCCTTTATATAACTATCATTTCCCTCTAACCAACTAGCCACATCAGCAAATATAACTCATTCCTCTATTTAACACAATTGTTGGGCTTAGGCCTAAATCAAGTACCTAACATAAACACAACCATTAAGGCAGGAAAATTCTCATTAGAGAAGTCACAGCAATTATCCAACAAAACATTTATCACACTCAATAGACATGAGAAACAGGTATAACAGGTGCTCCTTTCTCCAAAAAGAAATATAAACAAAATTAACTTAGTTTTAGGAATGAAAATATAGACAAATTTTAACTTTCATATTTTAATGATAGTGTCTCTTAAAACAGAATTCATTTAATTCATTTTTTTTATTTTCAATGATCAAATTTATTAGTCATATAGGGTAATAAAAAACACTTCGTAACAACTTCTCTTGTGTTTCTTTACCGCCCAACATTTTGTCTCGTACAACATTATCAGTCTCACAATTGACTAATATAATTTTCCCTTTAGTATGAGTGATACTTTTGTGTCACATAAAACACATGAAAGCCTCCTTCATTTCAACCATCCAAATAGAATTTAGTGGTTTACGCCTCCTTCTATTTCTCTGTTGTTTTGTACTAGGGACCTAAGATATTTAAACTGTACAACTTTGAATATGATATGATCTCCAATTTTCACCACTAAATTAGAAATGCTACTCCTTTTGTTAAACTTACATTCCAAATACTATCTTACTTCTGCATGGGTGAAAGCCATACACTTCTGAGACTCGTATCTTTCATTTAAATCCTACTTCAACTCACCAAATAGGACTATATATCTGCAAATAGCATACATCTATCTTACATTTCAGATACTTTGTCTTACAAACATGTTTAAGAAACTGCAATCCAAATCCCTAGGTTTTGATTTCTGATTGAAGTAAATTGTATCTAAGTTTGGTTCATCTGAGTTTCAGTGGCTAGTATGGGTTGTGGAATAGTGATTACAAGATGCAGCCGTAGTCATGTAGGGTGTCCAAGATGGATGAACAGCAGAAGACTCACCGATAGACGGAGTATAATCAGCAGTGATCGCCATTCTGTATGGAATGGATTAGGTGTTCTCCCAAATTTTGGCTCTGTTAATAGTTTCTGTTAGTAAGGGGAATCACTGTGAGATTGTGAATGACCAAAAGCTTGTTTGATTTAATTTTTAAAAACTGTTTTAGTTTTTAAAATTTGAAAATAATAAAATTCTTTTGGTTACCTAATTTTACAAAATTATTTTTAAAAAATATTCTATTTTTAAGTTTTGAAAACAAAACACCAAAATAAGTTTAGAGATTTTAGTTTTACTTATAGAAATTATGAAGAGAAAATAACAAGGAAAAGTGGTACTATTTTTATTAATGACGGATTTGTAATATTATACAACTTCATATATATAAAAGAATGTTTGATTCACCATGTTGCTTATAAATGCAAATGTGTCAAAATCCCAAATAAAACAATAAATAATATTGACAATATTTTTTTCTTTTCGGGTTTAAAACCCTTATATTTTTATTAATTTTGATAAAGAAATATTATCGTTATATTTTATTCTTACATTTTTATTGATTGTATTTGTTTTATGTGTTATTCAACTTGATTTTTTTTTTTTGAGAAAAAAAAGTATTTAAGATTTCAAAGTAAAAATAATAAAAGGAGTGTTATTTGAATTTTAAAAAACTAATATTGTACCCGATTCTGTATAAAATACACATCAAATAGATTTATTTTTTAACGAAATTGAGAGAAAATAATAGTAAAGAAATTCAACATTGTCAAAATTTGTGTCTGCGAAACATTTATAAAACAGCAGAGTTGGTTGTGGGATTGGATGACCCGTAGAAGACTTGTTTCATTATGTTTTACAGTGAAGGTTTGAAATTCACAATTTGTGATGGAGTTTGGAGTAACGCATGAGTCTATCAATATTAGAATCTTGGCCATACTTGACCGACCCCAAAGACAATGGTTGATGATTGCTCAAGTCTCCAAATTAAAAGTAATTTCGATATATGTAGTCAGTCTAGGATCTTAACACATGTTCTTCATGGCCAGGACAAGATATCTAGAGTGTGAAGTCTGTAACGCTAGACATCTACAGGTAACCTGCTATCATATTTAGAATAGGTTTGGGTGTCATGTAGAGATTGGGCCTAATTCAATTCAAAAAGCTATCTCAAAGAATAAGGATTGCTCAGGCTCTTACAATATAACAAATTAGATGTGGGATCTAAAAAATGATGTTGGGGTGAGGTTAGGAAGAATTCTGAGTTTTCATAGGTTGTTGGGTTTTCTTAGTCGGCTCTTTGAGTCTCCTCAAATTCCAAGGACTTTTGGTAGAATAGGTTTATTTAATTCCAATGGTGCGACGGTAATAAGTGTTTATGCATGCATTTCTAGAAGTATATATCGTCAAGTTATTGAGTAATAAAACATTCGGGAGATATTGAAGAAATCATCTCTAGTCCATCAAACTATTGAGCTCAATTTTATTCCTTCTCCGATGACAGTGCTCCTTCCTATATGGAGAACTTCTAACAACTTCCAGAATATACTACAGAACCTAAAGACTTTTCAGCTGAGAAGCATACAATACTTCTCATATACTTCTTGGATATTTCTTACTTGTAAATTATTTGAACTTTTAAATCAAAACTAGTGGGATTTTGTTCTAATTTAGTACTTTGAAGGATTGTCAAAAAATCGAACTTATTACTTCTTGCAATATTACTCCAAACTAGAACAAATACAAAACATATATTCTATCCATGAACCATAGCATCAAACAAGCCTCGTCTAATAACATTTCACAAACCATTTCAACGGTCCATTTCAGTTTTTCAAAACAATTGCAGACGCATGCAGTTCAAGTAAGAATAGGAATAAATTGGCAGAACCATATTTCCTCTCATTTCCCAGCACTTACTTATAAACAACACATCCAAAAACTATCACAAATCATGATCCAGATCAACACAAAACAGAATTTAGAATTCCCACTTATCTAATCTAAAACTTAAAATTCACTCATATCTATCTATTATAACAAAATATAACGCATAAAAACACAACACAGAATTTCCAGTTTTTATTATGTAGCCCCGACGCTTGCATGTCCGGTGTCCGACACCAACACAACACCAACGCACTTGTTTACTTTCATTCACTTCCATTTTCTCAGATTGTTACAGTACCTAACCACAGAAACAAAATCCCAGTACTAATGGCAACACTTCAAGAAATCAAAACATTTCTAATTCCAACCATTTCCACCACAGAAAAAGGATAAAACCTAGGGTTTCAAATTTCAATCAAGCATAGCTAAAAAAACTAAATACCAAACTCACATAGTTAAACCTAAACAACACCACTAGAAGAGCAAAAAATATTCTAAAATTAATTATATTAAAAAATCAAAAAATTAAATAATGATAAAAAGCGTACCAGTTACGACCGAGAACTTCTTCAGCACGATAACCGGTAAGCATCTCAAAAACGGCGTTGACGTATATAATAGGATGGTCCGGATCGATCGCGTCGGTGACAACGAACCCGCACGGTGCCGTTTGAAGAACCGGAAAAGGAAGCGGTCCAACGTCATCGTTTAGAAGGAACGACGAGGACGAAACGGCGTCGTCTTCATCACCGCTAAGATCCGAATTGCTATCCCACTCCATTGAATTTCTCTGCTGGAAACTGAATTTTTATTGTTCGGTTCAGGTTCAGCCCATGGGAAAGAAAGATGAAGAATGATACGGTGCGTATTGGAATAATCGGAATGGAAAATGAGAATTGGTGTGGTGTAATAAGTGTTGCTAGTTGATGTGTGAGTGGAGAAGGGGGATTAAGAAGGGAAAAAAACGAGTGGCGAGGAATACAGGTAAGAATGAGAAAGGGGAGAGAGGTTGAGGGGAAAATGAAAAATGGGGATGGAGTTTGGTTAATAACATGTGGGCTGGAGTATAACAATGACAGTGGGTAATCACCGCCTCTGTTTGCTTACAAATATCTCAACATTCCCTGCATTTGTTTTCTATTACCCACTACTCATCCTTTATTTTTATCATTTTACCTATATTAAAAATAAATAAATAAATAAAAGAGAAAATAATATTTTTATTAAAAATATTCTTATCAAATATTTAAAATAATATAAATTAATAAAATATTTATAAAAATTCAATTTACAATTATATTAGAATACTATATCATCAAATAAATAAATAAATATATATATATATATATATATATATATATATATATATATATATATATATATATATATAATATAAATTATAATTCTCAGATTAAATATTAAAACTCTTTGATTGTAAAATTTCTAATGTTTAATTTTTAGATTCTAACTAGAAAAGTTATAATTGAGTCAATTATAACTAATTAACAATTATAGGGAGATACGAAGAAAAAAAAGTATTGCTCCACTATTATATACCATTTATAGAAATATTCTTCTAGTTAAAGTTTTATGGGAACACTTTTTCAAGCTAGAGTGTTATAAGAATATTTTGTTTATTTTTATATATAAAAATAAAGAAAAATACTCAAGTGTCTTTGAAATTGATTAAAAGATTAAAATAATAAGTTGAGTTTTTTAAAAGATTAAAAATTAAAAAATGTGTATTTAATGTACTAAAAATATAAATAATTAACTTTTAAAAGAATCTTTTGTGTATTTAATAAACAAAACATATAATATTTTTTTTATTTGAATTTTTAACGAGTGTCCAGGGCTTGATCCATAAATAAATAAAGTAAGCAAAGATATTTTTTTATTTCCATTCTTACCTAAAGTAAGCAAAGATATTTCAATTTTTTGGATTTTTAAATATGAATGTTACTATTCTAATTTTAGAATCAATATGTAACATTTAAAGTCTTTATAAAAGAATCTTTGAGAACATCTATACATTTTGGATAGATATTCAACATTTTCTCAAACACATGGTATGCTTAAGTGAAACTGAAATACATCAACGTCAAATTCAAAATTTTTTAACCCTTGAATAAAAACGTGTTTTCTCATTATCCATGGTCATTTATTGCACTTGGTAAATGGAAAGGTGACCGTAAATAACAAACATGAGTAAGTCATTGGAAAAATGTAAAAACACGTATATTTGTGCTTATTAGGAGGTGTAATTATTGCAATTAGTTGTGTGAATATATTTTGTATTTAACATTTGAAATGTTTCGACTAAATAAAAGATTTAATTATATTATTTTTATTTAATCAGCATTGTTAAATAAAAATATTTATAAAAAAACAATTAGAATAAGTTGAATCACGCGTAATGGGCCTAATGTCATAATTAATGCTTTAAAATTAAAATTATTACAATTAATTAATAGTTTTACTCCGAATGTGTAATTATGGTTAGAGAACTAAATAATGCAATTAACTTAGTTTAAGTTTGGATTTGTTGAAATATTGGTGATCATCTACTTTCTTATTATGATTTAGATTTATTAAGATTAATTACATAATTAAAAAATATAATTAACAGATTACAAAAATATGGTTATAAAAAATAATGATTTTTAATAACTTAATAAATAGTGATCTAATCTGGTGGATCAGAACGTTGTCAGCAACACTTCTGCAGCAACAGTCAACAAGAGCGGAGAAAGAGGTGTACCTGCAAACACTCCAATGTTAAAGTCAGTCGGATAAAGAGATAGCAAGATTAGAGAATTGAATATTTGGCCCTCCTGTAGAGGAGGGTATTTATAGAGAGTCCCTAGCGCTGGGCCAACGGTTTCCATTATAGACTGGGTAATCAGACTCATAATGGATGACTGTTATGATTTCTACGTGGAGGTAGAGATGAGTAGCTCGTGCTCATCATCCTGGACCAATTGCTCTGCATTCATCGGATAATAGGACACTGGGTAGAGTTGCCTGTTACGTAGGGCAGACTGGTTCTATGGGATATGTGAACCAAGTTGATGACGTGTCCTCGCGTGAGGAGCACGTGGAAAAATGTTTTTTGCTGCCCCCTATAAGTTGGCCCAGCCTTCTGGATCGTTCTCGACGTGGCACTGGATTGGACCGTGCTCGACACTAGGTCAGCCACGAGTCTAGTCCAGAACAGGAGCCCCCCAAGTTGTTGCCCTCAAGCATGGGGTCAGTTATTTAGTCAGGCCATGTATCGAGGAGAGGAACTCAATTATGCGCGAGGGAAGTCCTCGTTAGGGATCCCAGGGGCGTAATGCGCCGTTCGTTGACCTTTGCTTCTAAGAAGGAAGTGTCGCACAGGATCTGAGGTCGAGGACTTGACCTGCACTGGCGATGAGCGTTAGATTGCTCGCGAGGCGTCAAGCTGCTCGTGAGTTTTGCCCCAAAATAGTGTCGAGGCTATGCTCGTGAATGGGTGTTTGACACCTCGGAGTCCGGTAGATTGATGGGACTTGAAGAGACAGACACGTCGTCTCCTCGAGCCATGTGAGAGGACTTGAAAGGACAAACGTTACGCCTATTCGCGCCACGTGTCAGAATTATTAAATGCCTATGACGGCCTACGAGTAGGGATACTCAAGAGCCTAGGCAAAGATACGTTTGCCCCTGCTAGGGATTATAAATAGGGAGAAATGGGGCTCATTTGTTCATTTTGCTCTCACTCTCCCTTCAGCTTTCCTTTTGTCCTTAGAGTGTTTTTCCGTCGTTTGTCGTCGTCACCGCCGTCTTCACCAACTTTCTTTGAATCTTTCACTACTTTTAAATCAAGTAAGCATCCTTTGTCTAATCTTCAAATTTGTCTGCTAGTTTTAGAACATATTGTCACACCCTAATTTTTGACCTTGCGATTCCCCTTCCTTGATTGTTTTCTTATGTTTTATTCTTTTTAGCTTTTATGTACGACTAACAAGTTGGTGCAGGTGCAGTACTTTCAAGTATAGATCCTTACAATCAAGCGTTACGGAGCTTTGGGTTTCGGTTCAAGGTGATCCTAAGATTTTGTGATGGTCATGGTTTGAGGTTGCCGCAAGGCTAAGATGTCAAGGCCATCAGAGAAAGAAAAACAGTTAAAGACAGAGGATGTGTTTGATTAGAGTATAAATGCAAGTCTTAGCACAAAGTGATCTGAATTTCAAAATGCAGAGTGCGGAGTAAAAAGACGTCAAAGCCCTGATCAAAGTCATCCCAAGTTTCAAATTAATTCATTTTTTCAGTCTTACTGCAAGTCTCAAGATACTACGTCCCTAATTCTATTGCCTAAAGGACTAAGTGAAAATAATGAGATATAATTCATTTAAACCCTTGCATTGAGATTGAACAACGCATGATATTCCAAGAATTGTGCCAAAACTCAAATACCAAAATCCAACACTACGGCAAACGTCACGATGGAATCAGCTAATTGCATGGATAGAATCAGTTATACATTGCAAGTTTACCATTGAAATACAAGCAGGAAGTCAAGACTCAAGGCCCAAAGTATATTCACGCTACTGCAAGGAATACAGATACCAACTTTTCCTCACATTACAAGCTTCAAACATGTCGCTAAAGTAATGAATTAATCTCTATCGTGTGAACTCAAAGTAACATTAGATCCTAAAGTATAATATTACAAATCATTGGACTTTCTTCCTAATAAGACTTTCAAAGATTCTGTCAGCGTCGCCGCGACCAAGTTTGTGAGGAACCTCATTGCAACTGACTAATATCTGCAAAAGGTTGTGACTGATATCATCGGGGATGACGAACCAACTGTCGGGTAAAACCTGCGGAGCCTAGTATTTGTAGGTACCACACCGTTTAGGCTACCGTCAACACTTCCTGCAAATTAAAACACAATACACAGTTAACGGACCTTCGAATACGACGGCAATCATGTTGGGTTAAAGAAGAAAATTCGCAAGCACAAACTCATGGTGACGTAACCAGAACCGTTCGAAACATAAGGACCAAGTTCTAACTTCTTTCCTAAAACCAACAGCTCCTCAATATCTCAAGGTTATTTTACCCCATTGGAAGTGTGCCGAATGTTGTTTCCCCTCAGTATGAACAATCACTGCATACGCAAAGTACAAGTCTTGTCTGGAATAGTCGGGTTGTAGAGCAGCAGCAGCCAGCTTCTCCTTATGGTGCACAATAATGGATCATTACCGCCATCTCCGTGGGAAACTCAACCTGCAGACAACAGTAGTCCAGTAGCAGGCAGTCAATACCCACAGCCAAATGCCAATCCTATCTCTACATCCAACAACCAAGTTCAAATAACCAAATGAGATTGCAGCTCCTTATATGGGCATGATTCCACCTTCCAAAACACCCTTGCATCAAGCCCCCTACATTAAGAAGTTAACCAGTTACATTAATAAACACCCATCTGCAGCTTGAACCCTGTCCAGGAGCAAGTTACTGACATCGTCCTATGACTCCTTAAAACCTGTTGAAAACACAGAACTTCGCAAACGAATCGTGAGATTTAGCATAGTAATCAAGATTTCCACTTAACATTTCTAAAAGAACAGCACATAATCATGAGTTGTAACTGTCCGTATTTACTACTAGTTTCATGTTTCCAACTACAAGTCTTCATAATCATCATTATTGTCAACTGAAGACAAACTACAAAGTTTGAGCGGATAAAAGAACATGCCAAATCTTCCCGGAGCTCTAAGGAGGCAACGTTCTATACCGTTCAACATC